GCCTGGCAGTGGATGAATGGATAAAAAATATGTGGTATATATACACAATGGAATATTACTCAGCACTAAAAGAGAATAAAATCATGGCATTTGCCAGTAAATGGATGGAGTTGGAGAGTATTATGTTAAGTGAAGTTAGCCAATCTCCACCCAAAATTGTCAAATATTTTCTCTGATATATGGGGATGACTCACAGTGGAGTAGAGAGGGAGAGCATGGGAGGATTATATTAACTCTAGATAGGTAAGAGGGGTGGGAGGGAGAGGAAGGGGACAGGGGATTAGCAAGGATGGTGGAATGTGATGGTTATCATTATATAATGACATGATCGACATCATTATTCAAAAGACATATATGAAGACTTGCATTGGGTGTCAACATACCTTATATACAAAGAGAGGTGAAAAATTGTGATAAAAATGTGTATTAAGAATTGTAATGCAGAAAGAAATGAGTACATGTATAATGGCATAAACTGATGTGAACATACTTTATATACAGAGATATGAAAAATTGTGCTCTATATGTGTGAAAAGGATTGAAATGCATTCCACTGTTATTCTGTGTTTAAAAAAATAAAAACATATATATATGAATTTAAATCATGACCTAAAAAAATCCTATAAAAAAAAAGAAAAAGAAATAGTGAGATAGGATGCATGTGGTGCTACAAACTGATGTATCCAGTGGTCTGGAGGCTGAGGCAGGGAGATCACAATTGTGAAGCTGACCCCAGCAACTGAGTGAAACCCTGCCTAAATAAAAAAAAAAAAAAAAATAGGCAATAGTAATTTTTAAAAATTAAATAAATTAAAAATTTAAATTTTAAGTAAAAATTGAAAAAGGGCTGAGGATATAGTTCAGTAGGACACCCTGGAAATTCCATCCAGAAATAACCATTTCTGGCAATCAGCCTCATTTTGTTTGCCATATTGCATACAGTTGGACAAATACTATGAAACACCGTGTCAGTTTTATATCGATGTCACATAAATGTCACATTTCACATATAATCATACTTAAAAAGGACACCTGCAGAGTTTGAAAAAAATACAAATGCAGATCAGCACATAACAGACTGAATTACACACCCTGGGAATAGATGATAGGGCTCCTCATTATAAAGAGGACAGCTCCCCTCAGGTTCATCTATGACAACACCCCATCAAAATTTCACCATAATTTCCTTTTCATTGAAGAAGGGACCAAAGCAAACAGTTTGAAAATTCTCCTACTTATATTGATATGAAATTAGCCAAGAATTCTGAACTCTAAGAGCAAAAGCAGGAGCTATCATTACCAGTCACTAATGCATGTTATAAAATCATCATTGCAGAAATTTGAGGACCAAAAAATTTGCACACTGCAAAAATTTCATAGATGACTCCGCATGTATGTAAATGGCATTTTTATTATGAAGTGCACTGAAAAGGCCTAGATAAATGCAACCATCTCCAGCAGAGGATTTGATGTGAATGAACAAGACAACCCAACGTGAAGGGAGGTGTGGGAACTGGAGGTGCAGAGCACTAGTAGGGCTTGGGTGCAGGATGTGCGTGGTACTGGATTCTCTCCACACATGGATACACCCAATAAACACCTGCTTCTGTTTTGAGTCCCTCTTAAATAAAGTTATACATGGACTGAGAGACATATGCATTGGACCACTCAGAAAATCTCTACCATCCAAAGGGCAGGCAAAGGTGGGGAACACTTGGGCATTAGTACTGCCTTGAACAATGTGCCACATAATTGGGACAGAATACCCCCATCCAGTGTCACCCAGAGTAGAGGAAGACTGATTGGGGCCACAAATGGAGCACATTGGACACTAAATGACTTGTAGCTGGAAACGCAATTTGTGTTCTGCTCATAGAATAGCGAACTGGATATACACAAGTATCAGGACGAGAGGAAAAGGGGTGCTTTTCTATGGCTGTGGAGGGTCATGAGCTTTATCCATGGGACCAGGGCAGAAGGGGAGCGAGATCAAGGGTCCCAGTTTATCCCTAGAAGGGATTTGCAGCATGATCTGCAAACTATGGCTGCTAACAGTTGAGCTCCTCTCTAGCCAGTCCCTGAGGGTAGACAGGACAAATGCAGTCCACCCAGCAGCCCTGCCTGAGCCCTCTCCCCCCTACCTCAGTAATAACTCCAGGTCTCACCAGTTCTTTCTGGAAGGAGTACGTACAGGCACTCAGGGTCCCAACATTTTTTTCCCATCTCATGGACTCCATCCTAACCCACAAAGCTTTGGGAGCAATGGCAACTGTGCATGTGCAAATCTCCCTGGATCCCAAAGGAGGGTCTTCACATTGGTGTGTAAGTATTTCCCTGGGCTACAATCCCCCTCCCAGGTGTGAAGCAAAAGGGGTCAAAACCACAGCTCCCTGTTTCTTTCTAGAATAGGCTCACACCACCTTCCTGCAGTGAGCACAGGCAGCCTGGGTTCTAACCAACTGCATCAGGAATTCAGCCCCCAGCCAAGTAGGAGACCTTCTGCAGCCTGAGCCCAGCTGTGGGGAAGGCTCCTACCAAACAGGTGAAGGAACCAGTCCTCCAATGACATGGATATGGAGCAAGACCCGCTCACACGGGACTAGAATATAAGCTTAGTGCATCCATTTTTAAAAATAGCATGGAGTTCTTTAAAAGCTAACAGAGTAACGACCACTCTGGATGCATTTCCAGAGGAACTTGAACCAGTGTGTTCATAAATGGCTGCATGCCCATCGCTGTTCCAGGATCCACAGGAGCCAGGAGGAGGGAACATCTGAAGTGGCTTCTGGATAAGGAGACTCCTCCCAGCTGCAGGGCCATCACCTGCTCCCCCGAGAAACTACTTCCCCTAAATGCACCTGCTCAGAGGTCCACAGGTGGCTGATATTTACCAGACGCTCAGGAGACCTCAGATGTGCCAGGTGTGGGATCCTCATGTCAGGCAGAGCCAAAACAGGACCAGGAAAATATCACAGAGGACATGAGACCCCTGGGACATGCAGTCCACAGGGGGGACACTCAGCCCAAAGACATTCTGACAAGGTATCTGGCCTGGGAGAGAAAGGGAGAATACACATGCACGTGCACACACACACACACACACACACACACACATATTTTTACTGGAAATGGGGACAGGGGACTTGAATTTGAGGAATTCATTGATACAGGTGTAAGGTTTCATCAGGGAGACGGGGTTCTGGATCTGACACTTTGCTTTTCTTACATTTAGAACATTCAGGGGGACCCGGGCAGGAGGGCCTCATCTGTAATACCAGCCACTCGGGAGGCTGGGGCCCAAGTTCAAGGCCAGACTCAGCCTCTCAGCTCTGTCCCAGATAAATAAGAAGTACGAGGGATGTAGCTCAGTGGGAAAGGATCTCTGCATTCAATCCTCTATGCCCCCCATGCGCCCCCCAAAATAAAGTAAAGCTCAGGGGGAAGAAAAACCTGAGACCCCTGCAGATCCCAGCCCCCTCGGGTCGGAAAAGGGCCCACGGACTGGTGATACTCACGGTCACGACACTCTGAAATCCACCACCAAAGAAATTCAGGGAGGAGACTTGAGCTGCCAATTTGTCCAGGAGATACCCATGTGTTCAATAATAATGAGAATAAAAAGAATCCAACATCTTTAGAAACCTGAGAAATGTAAACTAAAACCCTATCAGAGAGAAAATGAAATACATCAATGAAGATAGGAAACAAGAGAATTCTAAGAAACTCAAGGAGTTTAAGTGCTTCTTAACTATTTGTGGAAACTGTTTTGCCATTACAGACACATGATAGTCCCCCACCGCAGGGACTTGCTGCAATCAGTTCATATGACCAGGATAATACATTAATAGTCATGGTACATTCAGCTTAAAAATAGTATAAAATACCATGGGTACGTTTTACACGGGTGCCATATACAGGTGGTATTATGTGTAACTATGATGCACTAATAAACAATCCAGCATGCTTTACTCCTAATGGAAGCACCGGGTCCTAAAATTCATCCACAGTTAAATATATGTAAACTGAACCAAGAAACTTTTGAATTATAACAGCAAAAAATTATAAGAGAAAAAAAAAAGAAGTTATTACCTAACACGTGCATTGGGAAGCTGTTCTGTTACAATTGTCATTAAGGAATCACGAGTCAACAGAGTCCACCCACGAACCCACGTGGATGTAAAAATCATACACTTAATTGCAATGGAAAAGTCATTATCAATCCAACCCTAAAACCAGGCCACCCTCAGCAACTTAGCTAGACCAGTGGGCGGAATAAAAACTAAAAACTACCAGGGACAGAGCTAAGTGGAAAAGCACCTTCTGTTAACTACAAAACAAAACAAAACCCCACAAAACAAAAAACAATAAATTCCACAAAACTAGCTCAGGTATAAGCGAGGTCCCTGTACACCTCAGCTCCCCTCCTTCAGGAAAACTGGGTTTGGAGATTGGATTTTTTTTTTTTTTGGGGGGGGGGGGTACCGGGCATTGAACTCAGGGGCCCTGGACCCCTGAGCCCCATCCCCAGCCCTATTTTGCATTTCATTTAGAGGCAGGGTCTCCCTGAGTCTCTAAGTGGCTGGCCAACTTGCCGAGGCCATCAGCGCCCCCGCCCCAGCCTCTGGGCGGACAGGTGTGCGCCATCGCGCGGCTTGGAGATTGGCTATTTCCAGTGGTTCCACCTGTCAATCACCTCAGCCCGGAAGACGCCGGGCACCGCGCGCACCTGCCACGTAGGACCTGAGCAGGGGCTGAGGCTGCCCCAGGGGAGGGGGAGGCTGCAGGAGTCTCCGCTACTGTCACGCTCCCCACCCGGCTGGCCAGGGGGACTGAGGGGCGCTGTCCCCGAGGGGCTCAGTCCTGCAGACGCAGAGAGCGCCCGGAGTCCGGGTCGGCCAGCTCGGGTGGTTCCCGCCACAGCAGGTCCCGCCGGATGGCCTCCCTGCCCCGTCTCCCTCCGAGCCTCCCAGTCCAGGCTCCAGGGGCCACCGCACACTCACCGTCTCCTGGTGCCCAGCAGCCAAGTCTGCCCTGGGGAGCTTCGGCCCCTGCATGGCAGAGCCACCCGGGATCCCGGGCATGGAGTGAAGCCTGGAGTCCAACTGCAGGAATCTGAGTGGAACCGCGGACCGCGGAGAAATAAATTCCAACTTGTTTGCGGAAGTCCGCCTCCTGCTCGCTGGCTGCACTCAGGATTGGTCAGCGCTCAGCACGGGGGCTTCTGATTGGACAGCGCGTCCGTCAGTCTCCACTCTCCCCTGCCTGAGCCCAGTGAGCCTTCTTTCTGAGTGACAGGGGGGTGATATCCGCTCCGGGCGAGGAGGAAACAAGAATGGCCGGGTTGGGCTGCAGGTTTCTTCTTTTCCTTTTGAGGTCTGGGCATTGGGTTAGGGTCAGGGTGACCAGAATTCTGAATTCTGTTGGGCTTTGATGTTAGGAAATTGAAGTCATTTCTTGAAAGTGTCACCACCTGGGCCTCCTCCTATAATAAGACCTCCCAGAGCGTCTTCAGGTGCTGACTTGTCCTCTGTTCATCTGTGCAAAATTCTCCGAGCAGAACTGGCCTTTCGCCCCTTGGGAACTGCCCAGGGCATCAAGGCCAGCGCTGGTGAAGGCTCACGGGAACCTGGCAGGTGCTTTGGAGGAGGCTCCCATCCGGTTGGCAGCCTGAGAGCTGATGTTCCTCCAGCTGAGTTGATTCTGTGTCTGGAGCCCACGTTGAGCCTGAGGCAGAGTAAGGAGATCAGCACAGAAGAGACCCCCCGAGAGCACAGACCTGGGTAAACCCCAGCTGCACCCGGGCTCCCCCGCTCTCTGGACACTGGGGGTTGAATTCAGAGGACTCGACCTCTGAGCCCCTTCCCCAGCCCTAGCTTGAAGTTTAGAGACAGGGTCTCACTGAGTTGCTTAGCACCTTGCTTTTGCTGAAGCTGCCTTTGAATTCGTCATCCTCCTGCCTCAGCCTCCCCAGCCACTGGAATGACAGGCAATGGGATCCTGCCTCCTCCAAAAACCAGAGACCCCCTGCCCAGGTGTGCATCCTTAGTATCAGCTGAATACTCTGCACTTGACAAGAAAAAAGAAAAAGACAAAAGACAGACCCTACCTGCTTGTCTTGATGCAAACAAAGCCAATATGTCTCCAAAGAGAGCTCTGCTCTTGTCCCCCCAATTCAGGGATGCAAAAAGTCACATAATCCAGAGAAGACTTCTCCTTAAGAGGGGCTCAAGGGTCTCTCTCTTTAAGGAAAAACAATTTGGGTTTGACTGGGAGTCCAGGAAAGCCAATTCCAGGTTTTCCTAATTTGGTAAATAACTCCATAGACTCCAATGCACCCTGCTCCTCTCTGCCTTGGTTAACCGTGGAGGCCTCGAGATTACCTGCCCCTGGGACCTCTGCACCTGCAGATGAATGCGGGTGGGGGGGTCCTTTCTTCTCCATGCAGCGCCCTGAACCTTCCCTTCAGGCTCCAACACCTTTGGCAGCACCCAATGGGGGAGCGGTTTAGAACATTCTGGAATGTACCTAAGGACATTTCCTCATCCAGCTAGGATGCTATCAATTTGGTCCCATGGTCCTTTTCAGTACTTTTTATTTTTTTCTGTTTTATTGGTTCGTCTTAGTTATACATGCCCATAGAGTCCATTGTGGTAAACTTATCCAAACATAAAATATACCTTATTCTCCTTAGGACCCCATTCGTGTGGGTGGCATGATGGGCCCATTCACTTAAGTATTTTCATATATTTAAATAGAAACATTATGGTGGATTCATGCTACTGTGTTTCCTGTTCTTATCTCCTCCCCATTCCTGTTGCTCCCCTTTGTCTCATCTACTGAACTTCTCTTTGTGCCACCCCCCTTCCTTGTGATGTAGATAACACACGTCAGGGAAAACATGTGACCTTTGTTTTGGGGGGATTGCCTTATTTTACTTTAGCATGATAATCTCCAGATCCATTCATTTACTGGCCAATGTTATGAAGTCATCCTTTTTTAAAGCTGAGGAATATTCTACCAGGTATATATACCACAATTCCTTTATCTATTCATCTGTTGATGGGCATTTAGGCTGCTTCTGTAGCTTAGCTATTGTCAGTTGTGCTATCACGAACATGGATGTGGCTGCGTCCCTGCAGTATGCTGATTTTAAATCCTCTGGATATATTCTGAGGAGTGGGATAACTGAGTCAGAGGGTGGTTCCAGTCCTAGTTTCTTGAGGAATCTCCATCCTGCTTTCCAGAGGGGTTGCACCCATGTGCAGTGCCTCCAACATGGTGTGAGCATTCCCTGTCCCCCACATCCTCACCAATTTATTGTTACTGTATTCTTGATCATTGCCAATCTGACTGGAGTGAAAGAGAAGCTCAGTGCAGTTTTAATATGCATTTCCCTAAGTGCTACATACGTTGCCTTTTCGTATTTATTTTTTAAAATATTTTTTCTATCAGAGTCAGACCCAATACCTTTATTCTATCCATTGATTTTCCTGTGGTGCTGAGGATGGAACCCAAAGCCTTGCCCGTGCTAGGCGAGAGCTCTATGGCTCAGCCCCAGCCCCAGCCCCATCCCCCATCTTCAGTATTTTTTTCTTTTTCTCAGTGACAGCAGCCCAGGTATTTGGGGGACCTGCATTTGTGAAATGGGAACATTTCTCTCGAAGGAAAACTGAGAAGGTCAAGCCACATGCCCAGGATTCCAGGGATGAGCAGTACACAGTTGTCTTGCCCAGGATGAGGAGAAGATTATGTGGCTGAGAAGAGGGAAAGAGCCAGGGACACTCTGAGGCCAGAACCCCCTTCCCCCATGAGGGAAATGATTAATTATTCTTGCTGTTAGTTTTCTTCACCACAATGAGAGATTTTCCTAAGCTACCAGTGCCACTAGACATAGGTCCCTGCATGGAACTCAGATTTGTCTTGAGAGGCAAGGAAAAGTGAATAACCAACCCAGTGGTTCCAATAACCAACAAGCTAGACCTTGGGCTCCTTGGGGGCAAAACACTGGGTTTTACCCAATAATTAACAATCCAACAGCACCTGACACCCAATTAACAGGGGATAGAGAATTGGATCAGTGGGTGTGGGGGCCTGTGGGTGGCCAGCTGCAGGAGCTTGCCTCTGGGGTGCAGTCCTTGCATCTGAGAGGTTTTTCCACACCAATGAGATAAACAAAGTGGTGAGAAAACTGGCAAAACCCTCTGCAATATTCTAGCCAGGAAAATTCACAAGCACTTTAAAGGCATCTTACTGTTTACCCTTGGTCGAATGTGCCTCAATCAGAATGCAACCATTTGACAATAGCTGTCAACATGAAAAGTTTCTGAAATCTGCTGGATTGTGGACCACGTTTGTGGATCCCTGCAAAAACCATATGAGTCCATGGCCAAATACATAAGTAAAAATAGAAATCTAATAATGAGCATTCTCTGAAGACTTCCGTCCTGAAAACACTGCCCTATAAGCAAAGGACAAGGTTTGGTAGCACATGTCTGCAAGGCCAGGCATTTGGGAGGCTGCTGCAGGAGGATCTCAAGTCAGAGGCCACAGTTGGCATCTTAGCAAGACCCTGCCCCTCAAAATCAAATATTCAAAGCTCTGATATTGGGTGAGTCTTCATGAACAACTGAGGGTCAGAGTTCCTGTCTCCACAGTCTCCCTGATCATGTCACCTTGACACATATCAGTAGGTTCTCGTGGTTAGTTCAGAACACGGTTCACAAAGCACCTGGGCAAGGAGCAGAAGCGTGATCTCGGCCATTTTCTCGGGCCTGGCTCTTGCTTTGGTCAACAGCATCATCTCCACCTGCGTCTTTATTGCAGCGAGCTCCAGGAGCCACGTGCCCCCCTGGGAAGCATTAGCTTATTGAAACACCTTAGCACCATCTTCAGACTCACGCTCTCAGTCCCGTGGACACAAATTCATCATTCCTTTCTGATGTTCTGTGTTGCTGGCTTGCCGTCTTCTTACCTTAGGATGCTGTGTGTGGGTGTGTGACTGCTGCCTTCCAACAGGACCCAGAGCGGTGGCTGGTGCCCACCTGTATTAATAAATAGATCAAATGAAGTGAGTAAATAACTAAAGCAGTAAAAGATCTGACACTGTGGCTGGTCGTGATCCCAGGGATATGGAGGTTAGGTGGTGTTTCTTGGCTCTTGTGTTCTTGCAAGAGAGGATTTTAGATAATACATAAAATGTGATCAAAGTAGAGCAAAGTTTAGAATCACTATCAAGAGGGAGGGAGGAAAACAGTGAGGCTTCTCTGACATCTCTAGGCCTCACTCCCTCTTTGCTCCTCAAGTTTATGGGAGATGCTGTGGGTGATTGCAGAGGCCTGCCATGGACCAAGTCCTAGTTCTTAACTGGCAGTAGGATGACATCGCATTTGTAGGTTCCTAAGCCACATGGTCCTGTCCAGAGACACCAAAGAAAAACCCAAGTGTGTGTGTGTGTGTGAGAGAGAGAGAGAGAGAGAGAGAGAATTTCACTGTAGTAAAACTTTTATTATGGCAGCTATTATGAAGACAAACAACAATAAGTGTTGGCGAGGATGTGGGGAAAATGGTACTCTCAAACACTGCTGGTGGGACTGCAAATTGGTGCAGCCAATATGGAAAGCAGTATGGAGATTCCTTGGAAATCTGGGAATGGAACCACCATTTGACCCAGCTATCCCTCTCCTCAGTCTATACCCAAAGGAGTTAAAAACAGCAACCTACAGGGACACAGCCACATCAATGTTTATAGCAGCACAATTCACAAGAGCTAAACTGTGGAACCAACCTAGATGCCCTTCAGTGGATGCATGGATAAAAAAATGCATTATATATACACAATGGAATGTTACTCAGCAACAAGAGAATAAAATCATGGCATTAGCAGGTAAATGGATGGAGTTGGAGAAGATAATGCTAAGTAAAGTTAGCCAATCCCCCCAAAAACAAATGCTGAATGTTTTCTGTGATATAAGGAGGCTGATTCATAGTGGGGTAGGGAGGGGGAGCATGGGAGGAATAGATGAATTCTAGATAGGGCAGAGGAGTGGGAGGGGAAGGGAGGGGGCTGGAGGTTAGCAAGGGTGGTGGAATGAGGTAGTTATCATTATCCAAAGTACATGTATGAAGACACAAATTGGTGTCAACCTACTTTATGTTTTTTAAAGAGAGAGAGAATTTTAATATTTATTTTTCAGTTTTCGGGGGACACAACATCTTTGTTTGTATGTGGTGCTGAGGATCGAACCCGGGTCGCACGCATGCCAGGCGAGCGCGCTACCGCTTGAGCCACATCCCCAGCCCTCAACCTACTTTATAAACAAACAGAGGTATGAAAAATTGTGCTGTCTTTGTGTAATAAGAATTGTAATGCATTCTGATGTCATTTAGTTTTTTAAAAAATCAATAGAAAAAAACTTATTATAAAAGTTTAAGATGACATTCTAAATATACAAATGCAACTCTCAAGTCACCTTGCTCTGCACTGACCAGTCCTAATTGGAGATTTTCTGGGACCAGTAGGAAAATAGGGGCACATCATACTACCTGAGAGGACACTCCCTCTTGAGAGTGTCCCTCTGTCCCTTCCCTATGTCTTTAAATAAACTAATACCAGATAGAAATACTAGTCAGCAGATGCACACTAGTGACAGGAACAGGAGTTGACATGCCAAGATCCAGGACAACTCTAGGTCACTTTGCCCACGCTAGTCTGGAACGGTTCTTACATATTTGATGGTCAGG